CAACAATTATCTCTGATGTTCACAAAATTTCTAATAATCTACAAACTTCTTGACAGTTCTGTAATTTTCTCTGCAGATTTTCATGATTCAATGAATATCTGCAAATATCTCTGAACATCTATACAATTTTCTAAAGAATTAAAAGATTATCTAGAAATTTTTGAGCTTTCTGGAAGTTTTAAGAAGTATTCTGAAGTTTTTCTAATTTTTCTGAAGCTGTGCAAATATCTCTAAAGATCAGCGAACTTACCTGAAGTTCTATAAATGTCTTTCAAAATCCAAGAACCGCAGTAAAATTCTGAAAATTTATTTAAACATCTGCTAATTTTTCAGTAGATTTACGATCTATCCTCTGAACATTTCTGAAGATCCTAAAATTTATTTCAAATTCTGTAAAGTTTTCCGAAGTACTGTATTTCTGCTCCAAAGATCTACGAACTGCCCTGAAGTTCAATAAATTTCACAGTAGATCTCCGAACTTTTCTAAAGTTCTTTAAATTTCTTTGTGGATTCTTGAACTAAAGATCGGCGAACTTTCCCGAAGATCTGTGAGTTTTGCTGAAGTTTTGCAATTTTTTCTAAAAACGTACGAACTTTCTGACGTTCTACAGACTTCTCTTAAGGTCTACGGACTTCTTTTAAGGTCTACGGACTTCTCTGAAGTTCTTTAGATCTACACAGCTAAAAAAAGTAGTGTAAATTTCCGTTACTATGATGCACATAAATGGAGCGTCATATATCATAGAAGTTTAGATTATAGATCGTGTAAATTTATGAGACATGTCATGTAATATCCCATATATTGTATGCAACTGTTCACTTTTGTTTGCAACATTTCTTGCAAGTTGCTAGTCGTTCCCACTAGAGTCGGTGTATAATGAGTCACGCCAAGAGGAAAACAGTTGAACTCGCATCACGGTTTTCGAAAGATTCCCTTTCTTTTAACTTGGCAACAGAGGACTTCTACATCAACTTCAAATGACTTCTAGCGAGCAAAAATTATAGCGGCTGTAGTAAATCATTATGTCAGTGATTTTGTCAAATTATCGTAACAAAAATAGTAGAAATGCTCATTACTGATCATTACCAAACGTATCCCATGACAATTGAATGCTCACTGCGTGTTTATTATCATTTCTTCGATTATATTTTATATGTTATTGCGTGGACCTTTCATAGCATCGTAATGTTTGTTTACTTTACACTATAGGTAGCTGGTTTGACAGTTCGATAGGTAGACTTGGCTTCATTCTTGGCGTGACTCATTATACACCGACTCTAGTTCCCACTAAAGACTTATCAAAATCTAACTCTCTTGAGTGCTCATCCCCTAGGTAAAAATGTCCGGATCACAGGTATAAAAATGAAACTACAACGTGTAGAATCAGAACCTACCTGACTAATAATAAACAAAGATTTAAGGTCTGTATCCACAATAGTCCGGACACATCAAAACTTAAGTAAAACACAAATTTCGCATTATATTTCAATTGTAGTTGTTTATTTCAGATTCATGGGAAAATATTTAAAAAATCACGAAGTCAAAACATAGTTATTCGGTATTTGTATAACATTTTCGAACTTTGCGCTTAACTACATTTGTTAGAATTTGTACAGACTCCTCAGATACCGTGGTGGCCGGATGTGTCCAAATTGGTTGGAAGTGTTTGATATCTTCGATTCCTTGTTTCTTTCCAGAAAGCTTCCGCTTCATCAGAGCCCAATATCTCTCGATTGGACGTAACTCTGGACAATTTGGCGGAATTGCGGTTTTTGGTACAATATTCACTTGATTTTCTTCGTACCACTCCATCACCAGCTCCAGTGTCGCTCCGTCCAGCTCTTGATTTCATTGGCCACTACCAGATCCTGTGAAATGGCCAGCGAAAGAACTACCGTCTTCTGCGCCTTTATCACCGCCAACCGTTTCCGCTTGGCCAGGTTTCACAGGACAATGATTCCATTCTTATTCGCCACGTACAAAAACCGATCATTTTCAGTCAAACACACTGTCACGCGCCGGTGATCAAATACAATTGATATTTCAATATTGTTGAAATAAGCGTGTTTTTTAATTTAAGTTGAACATAAATATTTTAGTTTTAAACATGCTTTCAATTTACTTTGAATAATTCATATGTTTAGAGAATAAACATTCATATTTTTGATTTAAATTTTTTTTTTTTTTTTTTTTTTCTTTATTTAAGAGATTTTTAGCCTTAGGCTAGTTCATCTCTAATTTTGATTTAAATGAACAAAACTCGTATCCGTGAAGTTCCCGTATTGACAAGTCAGGATTTGCATTACGTCCGTACAAAATCCGCTCGCGCACGTGTTTTTCATTCCTCGCCATGGCGCCATCCATTCTTAACACTAAAGGGTGTCCACGATGAAATTGCCACACTATGAAATTGCTCTAACTTTTTAACCGTTGGGTAGAATTTAATGAAAATTTGGGTGGATTTAGTTCATAGTGCATTATTTACATCCTGCAAGTTTTAAAGTCCTGTGATCAAAACTCGCGGAAATGGAGTCGAAAGAACAGCTCGTGCGTGATAAAATCTTGCGCATTCATCACGAGAACAAGGATCTCTCGCATCGTTCCATCGCTAAAACGTTGGGAATCGCGAATTCCACGGTGTCGCGAGTGATTAAGCGGTTCGAGGAACGGTTGACCACCGATCGGAAGCCCAGAAGTGAAGGAAAAAGTATTCCGTACAACACCAAAAATCACAACCGCGTAGTTGGGGTCTTCAACCGAAATCCGAACGCCTCCGTTAGGGATGTGGCTAAGAAGCTGCACCTAAGCCGAAGTTTTGTCCAGAAGGCCAAAACTAAGGCTGGGCTTCGAACGTTCAAGGTACAAAAGGCCCCTAATCGCGACGAGAAGCAGAACAAGTCCGCCAAAACCCGTGCCAGGAAGTTGTACCTCAACATGCTGACGAAAGTTGAATGCTGCATCATGGACGACGAAACATATGTGAAGGCCGACTTCAAACAGATCCCCGGCAACCTGTTTTTCACGGCCAAGGATAAGTTCAGCGTTCCGGAGCATGTTCGCACTCAGAAGATGTCCAAATTTGCGAAGAAATTCCTGGTTTGGCAAGCCATCTGCACGTGCGGGAAGCGGAGTGCACCTTTCGTGACCCAGGACACGATGAACGGACAGGTTTACATAAAAGAGTGCCTCCAGAAGCGGCTGCTTCCTCTCCTGAAGGCCCACAACGTCCCAACAATCTTCTGGCCGGATTTGGCCTCATGCCACTACTCCAAGGACGTGCTGAAGTGGTATGCGGACAATAAGGTCAATTTCGTGCCGAAAATGTTCAACCCTCCCAACACTCCGGAGCTCCGCCCCATCGAGAAGTACTGGGCGATTATGAAGCAGCACCTTCTTAAACGACCTAAGGTAGTGAAGACAGTCGAGGAACTGAAGAAAGTATGGGTTTACATGCAAAAAACGGTTGATTCACAGGTTGTACAGAATCTTATGGCCGGGGTTAAGGCCAAGGTGCGGGCATTTGCGTATGGACTGTAAATAAAATACGAGTAAAATGGTAAAATGAAGTTTAATAGTTATTTCTCAATCCCTGAAAATTTGATGGCAATCGGATGAAAACTCGAATTTTGCGAATCAATTTTGTGTGTGGCAATTTCATCGTGGACACCCTTTAAATATGGAATGTAAACACCAATCATAGCCTTTTTCATCAATGACTCCTAGCTATACCTCAGCGAAATTTTTCACTCATACGTACAATATATCAAAAGTTACAGTGATTTTAAGGTGTCCAGATTAATGTGGATGCAAACCTTATAGAGGATGGTCAGAAAATAATGTGTAGACCTTCGACAATAAATTAAATCCTACAAATATTCACTGATAATTTTGAGATGATAAGGAACTATTCTGAAGATCTTGAAGACTATTGTTATATCTTTAGATGTTTTCTCAGCGGCGCTGGTAGTGTAGTGGTAAGTGTGATTACCTCTCAGTCCAGCAGGCCTGGGTTCAATCCCAGTCGGCACCACCGGGATGTTCTGAGGCATAACATCTCTGATCACGCCGGGTCATGAGTTGATGGGTCGATAGGTAGGGTCCAGGTGTGGGAGCTGTGCCTCCCTGGCGTCGGCAGCAAAGTACGATAGTAATTTCAGGAAGGGTGAAAGATTTTTTCTTTACAATCCAGTACCCGTTCGATTTTGGCAACAAACCCGAAAATTTAGTGCTTCCAAAATCGAACGATTTTATTTTGAAATTTAGTTTTTCGTTGATTTTGGACCACCGTTAATCTTCTTTAGAATAGACATTATTAATAATAAATATTTTTTTAATTGTAATCACAAGGAACAAACATTAATTATTTTCAAAATCCGTTCGATATTGGCACGGTGCTTAAATTTATTGTTGCCCAGAATTGAGAACAATTTAACTAATTTTGAAAATTTTGTATTTCATTAACCAACACTCAGACCCGTTGCCCTGCTAACAAAGTATTACTAGCGACCAATGACCTTTCTCAATGATATGTGTTGTAAAATATATGTTCCTCGTAATAAAAATATATAATTTTAAGTCCACAAGCTTTCCACGTATAATCCTCGGGAATCACAGCTCCACGTGACACCGTTGAAGTCAATATTCCCAATCGCAAATGAAGCAGACACTTCATATTTGCTCCAGAATTTATTGGCGCTCTCAGGTCCAGTCTTGCCGGCTGTTTGCATCACGAGTAACTTCCGATTGTCATTTTTTTTTCGAATCGCAACGTGCAAGATAAGATAGCATCCTAGTCTTTTGATCGGACTCCAGAAGAGACTCGAGAGAGAACGTCATCAGGCTTTCACTGCAAAGTTAAGTCGCTAAACCCAATGCCGAAGATAATCTGTTCGGCAATAGTTTGCACTCGGAATATATTCTAAACCGATATGTGACGGTATTGTCAATAACGGTTATCAGTTATCGGCACACTTTTCTGGTTACTATAAAAATGTAAGTTTGAGCAAGCCATTTATCACTCAATAGTTTGATTTACAACAGTTCAGTACTCCAAGTCATCAAGATGAGTTTCAAGACTTTACTTGTAACGTGTGCTCTTTTAGTTTGCGGTGAGTAGATAGTTGAAATTAGATGTGATTCCTAGATGATCTTTATTCCTGGAATTCTAAATAGCGATGGGGGCTTTGCTTCCGCTGGATGACAATTACGACAGCCGTGTTGTCGGAGGCCACGAAGCCGCACCAGGATCGGCACCGCATCAAGTTTCTCTTCAAGGTTTGTTTGGTCACTCATGTGGTGGAGCTATCATCGGTGACCTGTGGGTTCTGACGGCTGCGCACTGCGTTGTTGGCGCGAGTTTGTCCCAGCTTCGAGTCCTTGTCGGTACCAACAGCCTGAAGGAAGGAGGTCAAAAGTATAAAGCTGCCAAGTTCATCGTACACAGTCGGTACAATCAACCCACCTTCCACAACGATATTGCTTTGGTCAAACTGGAAACGAAACTGGAGCTTAGCGATAACGTGAGGGCCATCGAATACTCGGAGAAGGTCGTTCCGGAGAATGCTACCGTTACTCTCACTGGATGGGGAAGAACTTCAACAAACGGTCCAATCCCGACCAATTTGCAGACGATCGATCTGAATTACATCACTTACGAGGAATGCAAACGGTTGCATGGTGGCAGCTCGGAAGTCGATATTGGACACGTGTGCACATTTACAAAAAGCGGAGAAGGTGCATGTAACGTAAGTTGACTTAGCTCTAGTGTTTCATGGGAAGTGTAAGTATTGATCGGAAGATTTGAATTCTAGGGAGACTCTGGTGGCCCTCTTACGTACAATGGAAAGTTGATCGGTGTGGTAAACTTTGGAGTTCCCTGCGCTAAGGGATATCCAGATGCTTACGCTAGAGTGTCCTATTATCACGACTGGATTCGCACCAATATAAAGAATAATTCGTAATCGGTGAAGTGGACAAACGGTTTTTATGATTTTGGAAATACATACACATGATTTTGTTTATTCAAACTTAACAATTCTTAATTTCATTATTTACTACTATATATGTTTCTTCTTGTTTTTGTCTGTTCCAACATGACATCTGTGCCTGGTCTCAAGTTAGGCCGATGCCATAGCAATACCATAGAGGTAACTCTAAGACCAGAAGGTCCCGAAGAAACGTGCTCAACCTTTTTGGCGCAGCTCTGGTACTATCTTCGGTCCCAAGCTAATCGATGCATCCCTTGAAACATAGAACAATCCACGAACCCCTCATTTTATCTGTCAAACTTTCATAGCAAATCAAAACAAACATAGTGTAGTACTAGCATTTCGACTAGAATGGGGTACGATTATCGATGTACTTGGGACCAATAGGCTAGTCAAGTAGTGATCCAATTTAAAATCGTTAGTTTCCACCGGTCGGTAATACTGTTGGTAATACCACAGACAGACATACAAATTAGTACACACCAAATTTTGAAATCGAGTTCCAGCAAAAGAAATTGCTGAATGGCTTCCAGCAAAACTATATCTTGCTGCATGTTCAGTAATTTGAGATATTTTGCTGGATGCTCAGTAACTTTTATGAAACGTCAAAATCATCACCGTTCACTCTCTCGCGTATTCTGTTTTTCTATTGAAGAGAGCAACTAATCATGAATTACAGGTAACATATAATTAGAATATTCGCAAATGTATAGTGAACTCAATATTTACTATGGATTACACCGATTCTCTGTATATCTGTAGCTGCAAAGCTCGCTGTAAAGATTGCCGGATTGAACATCAAATGAGCTTAAAAACCGTCGATAGATCCAACGAAATTATGAAATTAATTTAACGCCCAAAAGTGAATAAATAATCAATGTGATTGATATGTGAAATGTTCATGCGTGTAATAAAATACCAAATACAATTGAGTTTTATATGAGTTAGAAAACCAATTTCAATTAATTTGTTTTGTATCAATTAAGTGGTCTGTCAGCAATATCATTGAAACTCTAATTTGCTGGATATCTAGTATATGTTGCTGAATTTTCAGTAAACAGTTGTCACTTTTACGTAGGGTCAATTGCTGGTCGTTCAGCAAAAATATTTTGCTGGAAGAATTGCTGGTTTTACAGCTCGGCAAAATCCAGCAAAATTTTGCTGGTTTTACTGCTCGGCAAAATCCAACAAATTTTGCTGGTTTTCAGCGATACAAAAATATTGTGTAAGCCATGAAGCTTGACTTATACCGAAGACAACAAATCAAGAAGACTGGCAACTCTTCCATTTTCTCAAACGAACGCTATGAGACAGGTATAATTTGACAGGTTGGCAATTATCCACAGCCCATACAAATTTAAAAAAAAATGTCTACGCACAGGGGGGTCAAGAATCCCAAAAAACTGCCTACGTAGTTAATCAACAGCCCCTAATTGTAGTTTGCTTAACAATTATTTCCCAGAAAAAGTGATCGTCAAAGTTCATGTCTTTTTCGGGTTGTTGTTAAGGGATGTGGAGAGGTTGTTGTTAAGGGGGGGGGGAGAGGTTGTTTTTAAGGGGGGAGGGGGTTTCACATACATAATTTTCCAAGCCTCCAAGCCATAATTTTCCAAGCCAAGCCAGTAGTAGTAAAATTTACGTTTATTTTCTGTTTTTTATATTTCAACATTTGGTTTAAAATTTCAATTGATTAGCCTTGGGCCTTCATCTTTGTTCTAGTTAATTGGTTATTCTAATGTGATGATTGCGTTTAGCGCTAATTTACAGTATACACTTTATGGGATTGTTTTGGTTTGAATTAAAAAAATTGATAACCTACCTACTTGAGCACAGGAATCTGCCTAACTACTTAAACTAGGTTGCCAAATCACGAATGATCTGGTGGTTTGATCGCAGACAGGCGACTCTGAACCTTTCCAGCGGGAAAGTCTTTCGCTCCTCGAGTGTTTGAAGACCGGCCAGGTGGTGAATCTCAGAATTACGAGTTCGCGATGGACTGTTAAGGATCATTCTGAGGATCTTGTTTTGGATCCTCTGAAGCTTTAGGTGGTGGCGCATAGCACAACTCTCCCAGATTGGCATACCATGCTCAATAGCCCGCAAAATGATCTGCTTGTGGACAGAAGCATGTTTTTGAGGGGACAGGGTGGACTTCCTGTTTATCAGAGGGTAGAGCGACTTGATCAAGATGTTACACTTGGTGGATGTCTTGTACACACGGGGTCGGAATAGCAATTTGCTATCAAGGGTGAGATCAAGGTAGACTTCTTCACTCGATCATTCAATGGGAGTGCTTTCAAGATGGACCTTGACGTTATCAGGAGGAACAAGCCTAGGTGAATTCGAGTGTGGAAACAGAATGGTTTGTGTTTTAGTTTACTCGCCAGAGCACGGATCACTCGACCCTTATAGATGATGGAGGTGTCAACTGCGAACATTGACAGGATACCACCACCCTGCAGGGGAGGAACGTTTGACGTGAAGATGTTGAATAGGATAGGCCCAAGCAGGCTACCCTGAGGGACCGCTGCATCAAAGTTGAACGTATCAGAGGAGACATTGTTCAAGTAGACCTGGAATGATCTTCCCGACAAGTAGTTTTTGATGATCTTCACGAGGTAGATCGGAAAGTTGTATCGATGCAGCTTGTACACTAGACCATCATGCCAGACATTGTCGAACGCCTTCTCGACATCCATCTGTTTCTAATAGGGGTTGGGGATTCGATGAGGGGCTCATGGATTTTGCTATGTTTCGAGGGGTGCATCGATTAGCTTGGGACCGAAGATAATACCAGAGCTGAGCCAAAAAGTTGAGCACGTTTCTTCGGGACTTACTAGTCTTAGAGTTACCTCTATGCTACTACGGGAGTGTCAGCGACTCAAGACATTGTCTCCAGTACGGCAGGCCCATGGGGGCTCACCATGGTTTGGCCAAGATTATGTGAAATCACAAAATGTTGGCCAAGAGCATTGGCCTTTTCAACTGGGGTTATTATGAGTAGGTCATCTTCCAAAATGGTTTTGCACAATCTGAGAGAGAGCAAATCTTGTTGGCAAAATCTTTATTTCTGAGTTCCACCATCCTGGCCTGGATAATTTTTGTTAGCCTATTGGCATTGGTCTTCAAGTGGGGCAGCCCAGAACGCCGGAACTGCCTACGAATGGTGTTACAGAGCCTGATAAGATCTTTGGTTGGGCTGTCAAGGTTCAGAATATGACTCACCTGTCTGGATGCTGGTACGTGTTGCTCCCTGGTACGGGATATCGCCTCTTCGATGGTTTGCAGACACTGATCGACTTCTTCGAACGACTCCGGTAGGACGTCGTAATCGATTGCTGTGTCCACACAGCGCTGATACTGCTGAACCTATTGGCCGAGTAACCTATTGAGCAGAGTCAGGAAAGCAGCGCTGTTTTATATCTTTTCAGGTTCAAGCAGAATGATGTGCAACCAAGTGGTATTCGTTTATGATGACTGGGTTTGGGGAAAACGTTTAGTTCATGAAAACAGTGATAAAATTATCATTTGCGAATTTTTCAAAAGTTTTTTGGTCGAAAATTGGAAAAGTATTTATTTCAGCAGAATCGTTAAGTAATATCCTATCGATTGGCTATTTGGATTTTGATTTCATCTATAAATGACAAGGTTACAAGCGTTCAAAACCTAACACTATTTCACCACACATATTTTTTAATTTGTACCCCAGTATAGTCGACAAAGACGTAGTTCTACGTCCAAAAACCCTTATTATCAATCCAATGCAATGTAACCAAAGAAGAACGCTAAGATGAAACTGTTGGAAGAAAAACTTTCAATTTTAGTATCCTCTTTCATGGTGGTACATATTCTTCTTTGCATAAACTTCAACGCAGGCAACAGCTGTAATTAAATTAATTCCATTAACTACTGCTTTAATTACATTAATTACACAATATATAACATTAACTACTTTTTAATTCCATTAATTACTATGGAGGCGAACCAGCCTCAGGCTGAAAGCCTTCTTAATACAAACAAATCAATCAATCAATTCCATTAATTATAGTTGACATTTCGTAATTAAAGTACATTAATTACATTTTCAATACTTTTAATCACATTAATAACGGATAGATAATTTTAATTACGGTCAGTACTACTTCAAAACGCATTAATTACTTTCAGCACTTACTTCAACGCACCGATTCTTTGTGTTTCTCGCCAAAAAGTTCAGCACGTTTCTTCGGGACCTTCTAGTCTTAGAGTTACCTCTATGGTACAACCCAAACGAGAATGTCAATCGGACTTGAGGTTTGACTCGCTGAAATCTCCTCGCATCATGTTGACTACTATGTTGTAAGATGCTGATTACTCAAGCGCTAGTAAACCGGCTCAATTGTAAACAGGATTATTAACTGTAACGTTGGTCCCGGCAAATGTGTGTTGAATGGGTGCGATATCCTACGCAGGTGTGGAAGCTGCCTTCCTGCACATTCGCTGCCGTCAATGGATGGCAATCGATGTCCGTCGGTGATTAACACTAGATTGCGACGTTAAATAAAGGAAAGAAGAAGAAGAATTAACTGTAACAGGAAAATATTTTCTACCCTCCTATGGATAATCTATATACAGTCAACTTTCGCTCGTTGGGCTAAACCTGTAGCCCATTTAGTGAAATGCTTTCGTTATAGTTGGGCTGAGCTATCAAGGGGCTGTTCACAAACTACGTAGACAGTTTATGGGGGTTGAGAATTATCCACGGCCCATACAAATTTTAAAAATTTTGTATGGACAATTGGGTTGTTAAACTTTGAAAAATATACCGATTTTTATACATCATCTCATAGAGCTTCGTTTTGTGAGCACAACTATACTTTTATAGATCCCGTAGACATTCATCTCAATTTTTAAATCAAGATTTAAATTTTTAATCATTGACACTAAATCTATTCGTCGACAGCTCGCTCCCATACAAAGTCCCACCAAGGGGCGCTAATATGGTGATTTTTGCTAATGTAATCGTTCTTATTTAAAATAGTTCCAGTGTACCAAAATTGATGAAATTTTGGATTTCGGTTCCATTTTTAATGCAGATAACGCATACGTGTTTCTCAATACCCCTAAACAGCCCAATTGTCTACGCAGGGGGGGGGGGGGGGGGGGTGAATAATCCTAAAAACCGTCTGCGTAGTTAATGAACAACCCCCAAGCTGAAAATTGGTTGTGGGATATATTGCGCATTTCACACAAAATTAGATTAATAACCCTAATAAAAATTGTATGGTTAATTTGCTTAACAACGTGTTCTGGGTATCATCCAAACCATTTGTGGAATAGTTCAATGATTTGGGTTATCGTTCGTTTATGGTTATTTTTTATTAGGGAAGCGCGTTTTCACTTATTAAAAAGTGTGATAAAATTGCAAGTTTACGTCTAATCGTCTTTGGTGCACTTATTCCTTATGATGCAAGCAATAAGTGCTCCGAAGACATCAAAACGATTTGACGGAAACGTGCACTTTTATCACACTTCTTGCATTTTTGGGACAGTCCAGTTTCAGATGCAATCTTCTTCTTCTTCTTTTCCTTTATTTAACGTCGGTCTCTGTTTCGCAATTTAGTGCCAATCACCGACGGACATCGATTGCCATCCATTGACGGCAACCGAGTGTGCAGGAAGGCAGCTTCCATACCTGCGTAGGATATCGCACCCATTCACAACACACATGGGCCGGGAACAACGGCTTTACTTCCCTTCCGAAGGAAGACGTCACCAGAGATTTTTATGCCTCAGAAAAATCCCACCGACCACCGACAGCAGTCACGTTTACCACTACACCACCGGCGCCGGCTCAGATGCAATCAGCAATACCGATTGTATATATCATCCAAATTGTTTATACGTGGGCCCCTCGAAAAAGAAATAGCACTGTCAAAAATGACGTTTGACTTCGATTTAGGTGGGCTACAGGCCTACTAACGGGAGCCCAACTAAAACGTAGCCTACCTAAACATAGCCCAACGAGCGAAATTTAACTGTACATAAAAATAAATTTCTATCTGACCCTTATAGACTCGGAAACTATACTGAACCGACCGGCGTGAAAATTTGTATTCAGGGGTTTTTGGCTCCAGGAATCGTTCTTATGATGGTTCGAGACAAATGAAACAGAAAAATATAGCATGCTTTTTTGAATCGGCGCATAAACTCAAGCTAATATTTAATCCCGAGCAAGGCCGGACACACTCAGCTAGTAAAATATAAACCGAAGATTTTTATTTATGGGCTTCTATTTTAGATCTATAGCACTATCGTATGATAACGACGTGACGTGAACCTCAATATCAGAATTGTTCAGGCATTATTTAAAAAAAGGAAATATTTACCGCAGTTTTATTTCAATCGATGACCTTATTTGACATCCTCATGCAAGAAGATCGTATTTTTTTTTCAAATTTTGAACTATGAATGCTGCAAAAACGACATTGACAATACCAAATGACCATAAAGGCCACTGTGTTGTCACACGGCCGATGTACCTTATACGTGTTCCAAGTGTGTCCCTCCAACTTATCAGTATAGATCAGCAAAAAACAACATTTTTTCCTAATTCAACATTTATTCAATTCAGTTACATACCCTCATACCTACTAGCTCTTTTTCTTTTCATCAATGAATTCTTTGTATCCGGACACGAAAAACTCCTTCCTTACCGTTAGTGGAGCTGCTTTCTGACGTATCATATAGTTCACATTTCCCTTCGCCGTGTAGTAATCATCTCCGGTCAGCTTACGGACGGCAACGTTTTTCTTCAGTACCTTATCGTAAAATCTTACACCGGCGTCCACAACGTCGGGACCAAGCTGAGCTAGCTGTTTGTCAACGTCCGTATCGAAGTAGATTTCGCTCATATCTTGCGAAAAGGAATATAGACCGAAGCCGAAAATGCCGCAAATTGTGTAAAGCATTAATCTCAACTGAAAAATTAATTGAAAATGAAAATCTACGGGTATAAGGGTATTTCAAGGACGTACGGATAGCGGCCTGACATAGAAGTTGCACTTCTGATTGATCAAAGATGCTGTGCTGTATGTGAACACCCATGTAAAGGTTGGTATGACCGCCTGGATGAGGCGCTTATTGGTGTTCAGTGTCAACACCTCACGAGCCATTCCGAAGACTTGTTCATCTTCGGACAGTACCAAGCATTCCTCCAGCAGTTTTCCACCCACTGATGACCAGTCCACCTTCCGGTTACCGATTAGCATATCGGTTTTCTCAATATCGGCCGGGCTGTCATAGTCAAAATTGATGGGAATGCCAACGACACCTCCGTAGCGAGCCTTCATAGATCCCGCGTTGAACACATCGAACCCGTACACCATGAATGGGGAAACGTATTTCCGCTCGTGTTCGGACAGATCAAGCAGCTGTATGGCACGGTTGAAGCGTTGCTGTAGCTTTTCCGACACCTGACGTTCTTGGCCATTCCTACGATGAAAGTTTAAGTGCTGGTAAATTAAATTTGACTGAGTTTTGGAAAAGAAATATGCTTCTGGAATCCCTGGTGGTTCAATACGCTTATGTCGATGATTGAAATAATTAGTTTTGATGTTTCTTCTTATAACTGAATCACCAGTTGCTGAAATAAAAAATTCAACTTCTTATCAAAGCTGCAACATTTCGATACTCACTTGTAAGCTTGGAAGAGCTCCTTAAAATATCCGATACCAATCGTGTGCGGTAGGTAGTGACCGGCGAATAGACCCACGGCTAGAGTCGTTGATCCGTAAAGTGCCACCCGGCGTCCGGTTTCAGTTATGAAAAATGGAATCCGCCCCGGTTTGACCATTTTCTGTAGAGGTTTTTCAAAATTGCACCGGTATAAATCAGTATGTTACTTAATCAAAACAACATGTTTGTTTACATCTCGGCTCTCACTTGCGACGTTTTGCCAGCATGAACTTCTTACCTGCATGCTGTCAGTGTGGACCCCTCGTATATTTATGGCACGCTTGGTGTGTTTCTTTGAAATTGACGTTATGCTTTTGTCGGTGGTATTCAGATAGGGTACATCTCAACCAGGGTTGCTTCCACTCACTTGCTATAAAAACATATTTTTCGGAATTATGCAATCATTAGATGATATAATGATATGCTGTACTTGTAAGTAACGAGAAGAGGATTTAAAGTATGTGTTTGACTCATAAAACCTGTCAATTTTGCTTTCAGTGCGTGCACAATAAGCGATCTTATGATTCGTCAGCGTTCACTCAGAGTGAGCACTCACGAGTCGTAAAATTGCTGATTGTGACGCACTGAAAGCAATATTGACAGATTTTATGTGTCAAACACATACTTCACGTCCTCATCTCGTAACTTAAACGCTGTCCAGACTGGAGAGTTTTAACATGTTATAACGGTTGTCAAATAATTGCAACACAGAAACCACCATCAAGATAGCGCTATAACATGTTATGGCTCTGTAGTCTGAACGTACTATTATACGCTGTCCAGACTGGAGAGTTATAACATGTTATAACGGTTGTCAATTAATTGCAACACAGAAACCACCATCAAGATAGCGCTATAACATGTTATAACTCTGTAGTGTGAACTAAAGAGCCTGAATTTAGAAAGAGGCGACATCTTATCCATTTGACAGGTCTTCTGCTCGATTGGAATGACTTTTCCTATGACTTTGACAGACAATCGATTGTTCCAATTTTGACATGTCGTCTCTTTGTAAATTCAGGCTCTTTAGTGTGAACGTACTATTACAAGTACTAATTATCACTATACCGTCTCATGATTTCATAATTCTGAAAAACATTTTTTTATAGCAAGTGAGTGGAAGTAGTGAGAAACTAATAGCGAATTTGTTTTTTTTCTGGGTGCGAAACCGAATTTTTTGTCAGTGCGATCCTCAACCTGAGCAGGGTTTTGAAAACAAACGAGCACACTGACGTTTTTTAGAAGACAAGCAGATCCAATCTTGATACCCGAGCCAGGTTGGAACTGAATAATAAACGAATTCGCTATAACATTTTCAGTTTTATAAGCCAACTTTTCCAGCTACAAGCAGGAGTTGCAAAACAAAGCTAACAGAGTGAATATATTACTCATTTGATGGCTTCTACGCAAATCAAATGTGCTTTTTCAACAACTAAGCATTTTTACAGTCAATAACACGTATACGAATGTTGTTAATTTAAATCAAAAATATAAATGTTCATAATCTAAACATACGAATTATTCAAGGTATATTTAAAACATGCATAAAACCGAGGGGCACGCAATTGCCTTTTTGACTGCGTTGGATTTAAAGTACAAGGTGTTCAACTACGTAATTAAGTAATTAAAAATGAAAATTAAGTATTTCATGTAATTAAATTTAATTTCACGTAATCAAAGCAGTGTCAGTGTAATTAACACGTACTTCAATTTGATAACGTAATTAATGTAATTATAAATTTATTTTCTGTAATTAATGTAATTAAAATTACACAAATGTAATTAAAAACGTACCCCAATCCTAATTCTTGAACTATTTAAAAAAAATGAAGAAAACCCTTAATACATACTCGAATGAATCAATTTATTCAAGAACACTTCTTACACCCCGAAATACGCCCATTAATGTTTTACTAGACTACAAACATGACCAATTCTGCGAATAATTATACTAAATTTCTTGGAAATTGAAATAATCCACTCGCGACAGTCGATTTCATTCTCGTTTCGTATGTTCAACATAATGTCGTATCTAGTGCACTGTATTCGTTGAATAATGCGCTTTAATGCAGAACTAGAATAAAATCGATTGTCACGAGTAGGTTATATCGGTCTATAACTCTAGCGACAATATACAGTGAAAATGAAGTGATACGCATAATGAGGGCCGTGATTGCCGTACAAATGAAATGGGAATCACTTAGTTGCGACGACAAGTCTTCAAATTTTACATTTCCTTTAATTCAAGCAATGCCTCGAGCAAATTTCTTCCCGATTAAAAAATGTTCGAATTTTAAGCCATGCTCGCAGCTCAGTTCGACAGATGATGATATTAGCTTGTGCCTGAATTAACACATTCAATGGAAGATGTATTTGCATTTGCATTAATTTTCTGATGTTTCAATATTTCTTTCAAACTTAATATTTTTATACTAATAATAATTAACAGATTTAAGGCAGAGTTCATTAACAAAAAAAAATATAATCAGGTTTTGGTTGCAGACACTAAGATGATTCAAACTAATTGTGTGCATTTATTTGTATTATCGCCATCATATGATCACATCCGTATTCAGAATTGACGCGATAGCACTTATGAAATTCGCCTCCCCATTATTTGTCTTTCCATGGGTCAACTAAACAATACTATGGGCAGAACTCCAAACCGATAGGAAACGATGAGTCCCATCTGCACAGGACACGAAATGATCGTTACCGATCAACTTGACACACTCAAGCTATCCGTGCCGGGAAGACAATTGCATGCTAGCTGCGATTTTTTCCCGGAAGTAGCGCAGCGTGTGAATGTCCAAAGTATTCACCAGCTCCAGTGTCCGTTCAGCTCTTTCTCTTAGGGGTTGTTCATAAACTACGTAGACAGTTTAGGGGGGGGGGGAGGTTGACAATTATGCACGGCCCATACAAATTTAAAAAAAATTGTATGGACAATTGTCTACGCAGGGGGAGGGGGGTCAATAATTCAGTCAAACAAAGATACATCGGTGACTGATGCTTTCAAATACGATTGATTTCTAAATTGCTAAAAAAAACATGCTTTTGAATTTAATTCAAAATACATATTTTAGTTTTAAACATGTTTTCAATTTACTGTGAATCATTCATATGTTTAGAGTACAAACAGATTTATTTTTGATTTGAATGAACAAAATTCGTATGCGTGGAGAAATAAATAATATTTTTACATGTAAATTTTGTTAATAATTTAAGAAAAAAAAACTAATTTTCTTGAATTTTTTGACAATTTTTCCCATTATTAAAAAAACCGTGTCGAAAAAACTATATTTTCAGGGCGGTAAACTTCCCCTTAATCATACATTTTGGGGTTAAATATAAATAGGCAAAACGTGCTTAACATAATTTTCTATTGTAATTCTGTTTTCGTTCACATCCACCAAATTAAACCGTTATTTCTTAGGTTGAACCATTTAGCACAAACAAACATTCTTTTCATTGTCGCATTCTTCGGCGCTATAACAGGGGCGTGATCCAGGGTATAGGTTTTTGCCCTACCTACACCTCGGCAGTATTGAAATGCGACTACATTTCCAATCACGAACCGATCGTTGCATGTGATTTGGCACCAATCACCAACGTAGATTTCCTCGTAGGTCCCGGGAGATGTATGTTTATAGGGTCTATTCTGAAGTCTACAGCGGTAGCGATACAATCTATCAGAGCTGACATTATCCTTAACGTAGCAAAAGGGCCTGTGAAATTTTTGTATCTCGGGCCACTAACGAAAGGGTCTAACGGTACGCTGGGGGTAATTTAAGTACATTTCTCGCTGAAATTAATGGAGTTAATGTACATACTTAATTTATGCGACTTGTAATTAAAGCTGAAATTTGTACTTAAAAGTAATTAAATCAAAAAAATTCCGACGCTCGTAATTAAAGTAATTAATCATGTAGTTAACTGTAATTACTGTACTTAAAAAAGGCTTGCGTAGGAGTTAAAGGCTATTGCGTGCCCCTCGCATAAAACTAAAATATTTATGTTTGAATGAAATTCAAAAGCATCCCAACAAACAATTCACAGTCACAAATAAGCATACCCATTGAATAAGTGCTGTATAACAGTGTACAATGCTGAATAAAACAAGATGTCGAATTATGTGCTGAAAAAAGCTCATTGAGATCGATAGATGCGCCTTTATTCCGCCGTTTGCCCTGATATGATTAATTTACTTATTAAAAGCTTTATAAACGTTGACTGTCTTCCTGATTCAGAACCAGAAGTTTGATCTAATAACATACTGAATAAGTGTAATTTGCACATACATTGACGCTTTAAACCGACTGTTTCAGTTGATTTAATAACATGCTTTATTATACGTCTAATAATTGTTTTCTTGCTCCATTACTAGATTCCATTGCATTGCTTAACTATATTGCTGAATAAAGGTGAATACAGTCAGCATAATAGCTCTTATACCACTATGTGTCCATGTTTTAATTGCATGCTTTATAAATGCTTTACAAACGGCGTATTCATTCATTATTCCACAACAGTTCTTCAGGCTAACAACAAAACGAAATTGGTAGCATAGTGGTTACCGTTTCCGCTTTCCAAGTAGAAGGTCGCGAGTTCAATCCCAGCCTCAACCCTTTTTTTTTTATTTATGTTCTACTCCTAATTAAATTAAATCGTAATCATAAATCGTATCACTCACGACAACCAATTCATAGATTTATAGAAAAGAATAGCATCCTTTCCATCGAAATTAGAGAGATGGAGAGGTAACGTTGGTCTAATGTTAAACAACTATGAATGAATTAATCATTCTCACATCTCCTTGCATTAGCTAGAGTTACGACTGGAAGTGCTGATAGGTTTTCAGATTCAAGCTTTTATTGCTTATTTGGCTGCTCATATGATGTATTCTAGGATAGCTCAGATGGCAAGGCAAGCGGCTGGTGATCGGAAGGTCATGGTTCGAATCCCATTTAACGACATGTGTGTGTATGTATGTATGTATGTAATAAGTTCGACAGAAATAATGACACAACAATCACTAACGAAAACAACCCTGCTCCGGCCATTCTTATTTTCGGATTAATTATCCCGTAGTTGAATAATCGTTTAATAAATGTATAATGATGTAATAATTAAACATTATTTCACATGAGAATCAAGCGTCTATAATATATA